CCTGACAAAGAAAAAACATAATCCATTTCTCGTTAGGTTCTTTTGACAGGCTCCATTGTTTTTGTTAATTACCCGCCTCGTTACCCAGTAATTGTTGACAGTCAACAGATGGAACATCTAGGGTAACGAGCTATGATGTCACAATTGAGTACCCTATATATAGATATGAGCCAATAGTCCATGATGTTATGTGTGTAATCTGTGTATATTAGCTTTTACCTTCTTTTTTTTGTTTTTATAAAATTTATTTTGAAATCATATATTTTTGATGTGACAAAAATACAGAAATTTACATGTGCGATATTTTATATTTAATGGTTAAGGAGATAGTTACATGTAGTAAAAATTGTTAAAAATCATCTGATTCAATATTTCTCACCTATATCATATGTACATTGCAATTTTAGTACCTCTTTTTTAAACACATGTACAGTTTACTAATGATTTGTTTTTGTTATCAGTGTCACTTGCAATTTTGATTTGATGATATTTTTGTCAATAATTCGCTTCATATTTTCTACAACAATAGAGAGATGATCTGTAGTACATTATCAGTGACCTGTAGTTGACATGTCCATCTAAATAAGGATTGATTTTGAAACAAATTTTCTGCCTCGCTGCTCGCTAATTGTTGACGCATGGTCTAGTTAGCTGCCTACTGTGTATGGTATGTGATGATGATGATGTGTATGGTATCCAGAACTCACTGTGCCTTAGTTCTATTCCTGAATGGGTTAGGGTTAGGGTTAGGCATGGTTCTGGATGTCGGCATATCCAAGAACATAAATTTGTCCCAGGCAATAACACATGTACTGTGCCTGAGCATTGTTCTGGATAAAGCACATTTCTGGATATGTGTGGACAATGATGTTGGGTAAAGCATGGTTCTGGAATCTGGATACAACACTGTAAGTAACTGTCAAACCCCTCCTGTCACTGATATCACTTACAAACATATCTGTCATTCCTGTCATAGCTGACTGGCAGGGTATCAACACTATAGGAATATAGGATTTCAGAAGATGCACAATTTTAGTAGTACAGTTAGGATACTGTATGTTGATGAAGGTTAGACATCCAGATAATGAGATACACAGTCAAAAAAACAGCTACTCAAGCAACTGGATAAAGTTAGATTGATACCATATATTACTTTTCTTCAAGAAGTTAGCATTGGAAATTCTTGATATTTGTGACTGCCATGAAGAAGGAGGAAACTTCATGATTTTTTTATCATCACAATATCTGCGTGAAGAGTTTTCATCAATACTTAGTACTGTATAGATTAATCATGCCCTCCCCATATCTATTACATGAATCATCCCTTATAACCCTTACTGTGTAACATACTCCCCATGTTTATCACATGATTCATCCCTCCCCATAACCCTATCTGTGCAATACATATGACAGGCATAACTTTTATAGTCACAACTATATATAGATACAGATTTCTATCACAAGTTTCGCAACTGTCTATATCCTACATCCGGCCGTTACCTACCAAGTCTTTTTGAACCAGACTTTTGGTTGATACTCTCTTACTTAGTTCATCTTCATACAAGTTTGGGACAGGGAAAGTAGAGTTTGCAGACTTGTGATTTGGAGTAAGCAATGGATGGAATGGTAAGGTTATAGTTTGTCTCTAGTGTTACTGGTTTAGTGTAATATGCAGTACAGAAATAGAAATGTATTTCACGTATCCTGTCTCAGTTTACTCTGTAGTCAGGTATTCTGGAACTTGTTGTGATGTTATGTGGATGGACATACATTTTATACAGCTTTCTGTCTCTCTACTTCTACAGTTGTATGTTGTTTTTTGAGTATAATGTTAAAGTTAACCTTCTTCCTGCTGCATAGCCCCATAACCAATACAAATATGGAGCCAAAGGGCTGTCTTAGCATCCTTGAGGTTAATGGTACACAGTACTGAGTACAAGTTAAACTTCAGTTCAAGTTAACATTCAAGTTTTGCTCATACATGTATATGCAGAATTAAAAAAGCTGGTGTGTTACGCCGAAGGGCAGTTATACCGGCTACACTGATACAGATACAGAGAACAAAGCTAGATATATAGTAGTTGACCAGGCTTTTAAGAATGTACTAGTATATGGATCCTGATGCAGTAACTGGTACCTGTAATCGAATTGAGCAATTGCTGGAGCAACCCAACTTCGTTTACAATTGATTTTATTCAAGCAGTAAGAATCGAATAGCGATTTTCCGACAAATTTTATCTGGTTGTTTTACTGGGTGGGTAATGCACACCTACGTTCCAACAACTCAACAATTTTCTGACATACCTCAACCCTAATTGTTAAGAATATGTAGGTGTGTCACAATATTACATTGTGTACATGTACATGTAATTGCATTGGAATAAGCATTTATTTTATCTAAGCAGTAATTTGAAGAAATAATTTGACAAAAGGGATCTTCCTTAAGCTTCTAATTTCATCTGGTGGGTTTTTTCTGACTGCTTTTCAAGAAATTTGACCTGAAGTGGTATGGTCACATGTCACTGTCATTGGGGCTTTATATAAAATTATAGCCAAAACCTTTATGCAAGGACAGGAAGGAAGAAAGAGGGGTAGGCAACAGAAAAGATAGGAGGATAAGATCAGAGAATGTAGCCTGGTTACCAAAGCTATTATAGCTCCCGAGTCCTACATCCTCTCTATTTGCAGAGAGGATGTAGGACTCAGAAGCTATAAATTATAGGATTTTGGTAAGGCTACAGAGAATAGACCCACATGATGCTATATGGAGTGAAGAATAGAAAACCAAGAGCGTGGAGAAAACTGGTTGTCTGATCTTCCATGGTGCCCCAATGGTCAAACAATTATACTAAGGGGTAGATGAGAATAACTGGTACAGCTGAACCAGGATTTTATTTGAGCAGTAATTTCAGAAAGGATCTTCCATCTAATTTCATCTGGTAGTTTTACCCTGACATGTAATACCAGGAGTCTTGTCTCCTTTCCGCTGACGTCCGGACCCTAACCACATTACTGTAAAACTGATCAATAGGGATTAAATTAGGCCTAGGAAAAAAATGTTGTGTTTCCTGCTTCATCCTGAAAAAAATTTAGAGGTCGGTATGCATATAGGTACTACTGGGATTGGTTTTCACTCTTTTTTTAAAACTTTATCGATCTCCATGGGCCAGTGATCTAACTTATACAATACAGTTTAACAAGGTAAAACTTGCATAAAGACATCAATATTTTCAATGTCAATGTTGCAAAGCTGTACAACGTTTCATCAGTCAGGTGTCAGATCATGGTCAGCTAGAAAAGGTTGATCAGCTTGAAAAATTTATGTCCCTTGCAGGGATCCACCCAAAAAAAAGTCTAGGGTCTGCAGTTTTTTCTAGGGTCGGTGGGGAAACACAACATTTTTTTCCTAGGCCTTAGCTGCCTGAGCAATAGAGATTACATTATAGGAGACAGACTGGGGTAGTCAGAAGCTTCTACACACCAGTCATACTGATCAGGCACAGGAAAAATAATATTGTGTTTTCTGACCGACACTAGAAAAAACTGCTGACCCTAAGCCTTTTTTCTATATAACACATCAAGTAGTCCCGAAAAGGGCCCAGCTAGAACCTATGATAGACATCTAATACTTAGGAAGTACATTTGTAAAGTTTCTGGGTTTATGTAACTTGTAGGTAACTCTTTATGTAACTCTATAGGTATGCTGATCACATTCATACTCACTACCTATATATACTGTAATAGTTTTTGAGGTGCAGTTCCAACTTATATTAAGAATGGCGGAGCTTTCAGTCCTGATTCACATGAGAGCTGTAGGACAAGTTTGGCAAAGCTCTTTAGCCCCACTGTAAGCTATTCTGCAGCAGGAATGTAAATTGTAGCAGAGGAAATGCCTGCAGAGACGTGCCAAAAGCTTCCCTACATCCGGCCTGTCTAGAATGATTTAAGCAGATGATTGTGGGAAAGCTGGAAGTACATACACATAACTTGGTGAGGATTTGGGGTGTAGCTTTAAGTAGAAATGTGGGATTTCGAATTCTCTTTTTTCGTTTTATTTATTGACCTCAAGTTCAGGCCAATCGATCGTACAGTCACATGACTTGCATACACTGTCTTTAAAACCAAGGGCAATGCTTTGAAAGTCTGATCATGCATGTTTAACTGTACAAGGCTAATTGTATGACATTGTATTTATAGTATATTACACACGTATAATTTTGATATATTCTGTATTGTTGATAATTGTTATATAACATGTAAATCACAGTTCAAAATTCATTAGAAAAATACATTTCAAAATTGATGATTCATTGTTGATTATACTTGTCTGATAATTTCTCATATTCTGTTGAGCACGTACAATTTTATATGTGTGTTTAGCTTAGCCTTCTGCCTCAACTTCTGATAAATTTTGCATTGTCTTCATCCAAACCGACACTTATATATTTCTCCTTCTATTTCCAGGCTCTAGGAGGCCCCTTTGGGGTCTACACAACAACACATCACCCAACTGTCGCCCCACCCTCGCTCCCTCACATGTCCCACATACCCGGTCTCGAAACCCAGCCTGTAGGAATGGCGGATATGCCACACTGACACGTACACCCGTGCTGCGTCATGATGCACCCGGGCACCACAAACCAGACCGTGGGCTGAGCCTAGTGCTGGAATTCCTGGCCCATTTCGGGTAGTGTATGCTGGACATACTACGAGACATGGTGGACATATTTTGACGCACTTTTGATACTGTATGTATATCTACTGAAATAACTGCTGGATTGATACAATTAATTGATTGAGAACATTGTTGTAACGAATTTGTGATTGTAAGAAATTTGATTACGCTGACGATTGTCTTAATTAGCAGAGCAAAGGTCTTTTAATCAAGTTTAATCAAAACTGTATCGATAAAAAAAATAGCAATAGCATAATTTTAGCTCATTGCTGGCATTGTAGAAAGAACACTGATAGAATCATTTGACCTAATTATTTGATAAGGATATTTTGAAGACAGGAAGGTTTGGAACTAGGAGATATTCAACGATCAAAAGGCAGAATTTTAAACTGGGTGGTCTTGTTGTAGCCAAATAAGGGAAACTGGGGTGACCTTGTGGGCACGACCTTGTAAAAACAAGATGGTGGTCAGATAGTGGAACATTGTGTTAGCACATAGCAAGTCTGTGTAAGCTAACCTTTGACCCAGAGTATATGTTAACATTGCAAGTTGGCAAAATAGATCTTTCACAAACAGGGTTCTATTTCCAGTCAAGTCATGTCACGTCGGCTGAAAGACATTTTCTAGCGGTGAAATTATCTTGGAGAGCTCGGAAAAGGTTTGCTAATTAGAAGACAGGCAGTTTGAAAACCTACATAGACAATTGGGCTCCAAACTGTCTACAGTGTTTGAATATATGAATTGCAAGTAGGGATCAGCTTGAAGAGCAGAACTTGGTAATTGTTAAGGACTTGTTCAAGCAGACGTTTGGAATTGTATCATCTAAATTTTAGAACACGCTTATTACTGAGTCGTTACAAGGAAACATCTTGTAGAGGAGAATTTAGTAGATTCCTACAAAAGCTCTTAAGGCAATTACTTGGACTTTCTTAAGTGTTGCAAGAAGGAAACGATTTAAGGAGTGGAATTCTTGAAGGAACACCCTTAAATTAAGTTGTTACAAGGAAACATCTTGTAGAGGAGAATTAATTGGAATTTCTGCTATTTGATTGAGGAATTACTTGGACTCCGGAGTTTCTTAAGTGTTGCAAGAAGAAAAGGATTTAAAGAAATTTTGGGACTCCTAAGAAAGCTACTGGAGGAATTACTTGGAATTTCTTAAGGAGCGGAATTCTTGAAGGATTGTTGATGCGAGTCATGCCAGTCAGAGCGATGCGGAATGGACAGGAAGACTTGTTCGCTTCCCCGGGGGGTGGGGAGAGCTTCCCCAGGGCCCCCCTCGGGCCCTTCCTCTCAAACAGTCTCGACTCCAACACTTCCTACGAAGACATCGATGGAGACAACAACCGAAAATGTCTCCGTTCCCCGTTCGTATCCGAAGAAGATCTGGACAGCCGGATGTTTATTGAGGGAGAACCTCTTTCCATGCTGTTCACTCAAAATCTCGATCTAAACAACGACATATTAAACATGAAGAAGCCAATCGCGAAGGACAACTGGCAACACATGAGCGCCGACAGTTTAAACGAAAACTACCAATCGCCGGTGACAACGGGAAAAGCAAACGTTGCCGCCATGTTAAAATCGCACCCCTCTCCCAACACTGCTAACGGGAACATGGAAGCTTTGCAAGAGTCCAGCATCACGAGTGACGCTACTACAGAAAACGGCTTGGACGAAGAGGAAGAAACTTCCTTTGAGTACACAAAACTCACAAACGACGTCACAGAGCCAGGTGATCTTTGCTCCAACGATTCCACCACGCCCAAGGAGGGTAGAAACGGAAACGTGCGGATGTATTCCTTCCCGAAATACTCGGATGATCATGAATTTTCCCAGAACATTGCCGTGGAGATGTTACAACGTCAGGGCGGTGGCGGGCTGCACTCCAGCCTCGAGGTGAACTGTTCCAACAGCGTCAACGCTTCTCCCTGGTCGGACTCGCATTCCTCTTACGAGTCAAACGATTCGTACAACAACGCGTACGGACACGATTCGGCTTTCCTGTGGGAGGGAGTGGATGAGTATTGTGACAGTCACACCACAAGTGGGGAAGAGTTCCAGCTTGCTGTACACAGGCTGAGCGCATCGTGCCCAAAAATGGACCGCCTGCGATGCCGCGACCGCCACTCGTACCCGCCCTGTCAGTCCTCCCGCCACGGCTACACCGTCATCGTGGACGGCTTCGAAAACGGTGATCTCCAGCACAGCATCTCGTATCCCGTGGCAACGATGAAAACCCCGGAAGGGTACTACCTACAGGCTCCGCTGAATAGTCATAAATACAGGGCGAGAAATCGAAGGAGAGAGAATTCGAAATCGCGTGGGAGAACCAAGAGCACAATGGAAGGGAAGACTCCGTCACCGTTTAACCTAAAGAAGAGCAGGTCGAAGAGCTACGAGAAGCTTTCGTCGGAGATCTTCGCGCGGTGGAGCATGGAGAGTTCGGGTTTCAGTAAAAGCCATGGCAACAGTAGCCATAGCAACTGCAGCAGTCTCGTCGACGACGGGATGCAGAGGAGTCCGTTGCCGTCGGTTACGCGGGCGCACTCGTTCGGGAGCGCGGACCTGAACCGGAGAGAACGCCCGACGGTTTCGCGCGCGCACTCCATGAGCAGCGCAGACAGAAGCTCAAGTTCATCTCCAACCAGCAAGCTAAAGAAGGATACCTGGAAGCAGCGCTGCATCCGATCCAAAAGCTACGAGAAGCTTTCATTAAGACTGCAGAGTGCTTCAGACGAGGACTTTTGCGCAAACCCGGAAATCGTCTGTCCGGAAGAAGAAGACAGCGATCAGGAAGAGGAACCGAAGACTCCCGACACGGCAAAGCGAGTCACTTTCGCAGAAATCGCGCAGCGGAAAAAGAACATGTCGCTTCCAGTTCAACCATTGATCGACAGTAACGAAACTAAAGACAGGCTCGACACGGGAAAGCACTCAGACGAGGGCGTGTTTTCGGGCGAATGGACTGAAGGAGGGAACGATTGCGAGGAGAAAAGAAGGTGGTCGGAGAAGGAGAAAAAAGAGAGATTGAATTCTGAAGGGATCGAGGTAGACGAAGAAGAGGAGGATGATGGAATTATTGAGAACGCATCAGGGAACGAGGTAGCGATGGAGGAAAGTTTGAAGCTGAGAAGAGAGAGTCTGGAGAGTGAGAAGGCCGAAGAAGCGTCCGGGCGGTCGAGGTTGTTTAGTGATCCGGGGCCGAAAATGATGAGCGAAGTGACCCTCAGGGACAACGGTAAGTAGTTACAGCTTCTACAGGTGTTGCTTGGCACGTGGGTTTCTTCAGGTGTGCACTTATTCTCACTTAGACTTTTCTTTCTGTAGTCTTTCTGTATCTTGTGTAGTTAAGGCTGTTACTTACACATAGTTTATTTTCTAAGGTCACTTTTAGTTTTTATCGCAAACAATCAATGTAATGTACAGAGTCAAATTCAAAAAGGCTGAACATCTGGTGTACCCACACTAGTACTCAGACTTACTAGTACTAAGACAATAATTCAACAGTAAAAAGATGTGTACTGTTTTTCTCCATGTATATATACATTGTACATGTATATGTCAACTTAGAGAAGATTGGCCAAACCTGTTTAGGTTCGGATCCAGGTACACCCAGTACTAATAATGACTTTATTTGCATGTTCATGCCCATGGGGCTAAATGCATACATCATAACATCATACATAACGTAAAAGTCTTAGGAACTACTAGAGAATACATTCTATACAATCATACTAAGGTCTTCCTGGAGTTATAAAACCTATAACACATAACGTAACCAACATAACATAAACATTAAGTACCTATACTTAATGAACAACATTTCGATTCAAAGGAAAAAAAACTAGAATAGAAAAAAAAAGGAACAATGTACACACCCTATTTCATATTCATTACTAATCTTCCTCTTCTCTCTCTCTCTCCTCTCTTTTGCTCCCTCCTTCCACCAGACTCGAGCCAGCGGCCGCTGAAGGCCCGCCCCCACTCCCTTCCCATCAGGCCCTACGCGCTGGCGTTCCCGCTGAGCGGCCAGATGCCGCGGGTCCGCCGGGTACAGAAGTGCCCGTCACTGAAAACGTTTAACGGGATGTCCCGCCCGCTGGCCCAGCGTAGCCTGTCCTGCAGCCCCTACCGAAACCCCGCCCCAATGGTACAGGTGCTGGAGACACAGAAAAAACCCCTAGGTAGGACCAATGGTATAGTCTTCTGCATGTTGCGTGGTTAATACTGGAATGTTCTATTGGGAAAATGGGGTTAGTTCCTGCAGCCCCTACAGAAACCCTGCACCAATGGTACAGGTGATGGAGACACAGAAAAAACCCCTAGGTAGGACCAATGGTATAGTCTGATCTGCATGTTACATGGGTATTACTGGCATGTTCCATTTGAAAAGTGGGGTAAGTTTGCGAAGTCCCGCCCCGACACAGCAGAAAAGAACATTAGGTACGACCTGCTCACCCCCATTTGTGCATGTGATGGCACAGCCTTTTGCATGTTGCATGGACAATACTGGAATGTTCCATTTTGAAAAGCGGGACATAGTGTCAGCCTGACAGAAGAGTTGATCCACTCCAGACATAACACTTTCTACAACCCTGTTGACAAATCATCATTCTAACAGTACATCACATTCTTGAATGCAAAACCCAAGGAGGTTAAATACAATTTCTTTAGAAATAGTTTTGCCTGTTGGTGTTCTTTCTTCTCATCTCAATTTGCCGTTATCTTTTCTCTCCTTCCCTCCTTCCCTCCCTCCTCCCCTCAGCAGCCCTGAGACAGCTTTCGGGGGGTGGCCTTGGCTCTTCCAACAGCCACGCATATTTCCCCCTAGCACACCACCACCAGCCCCCCAAAAGCGCCGACTACCACGTAAAAGGCTTTGGTAACCATGACAACCAGCTGCTGCCCCGCAGCGCCGGTTACCATAGCAACCACGTGACCCCCAAGTGGGAGTTCCATGGCAACCTGAGGTTCGAGAAGGTCGTAGTGAAGGAGAAGATCCAGCCGCTGTTCCGATCGGCGCTCGACGTTCACAAGCGCGGGATCAAGGTCAGCGTGGTCAGCCCAGGGAACCGTGGGATACCTGTCACTGGTGAGGGTTCAGAGGGCAGAGTTCGAAGGTCATCGTGAAGCTGTGTGTGTGTGTGTCGTCGTGTCATAGGCTGCATGGCCACCCCTGACCGGCATTTGAGTTCAGAGTTCGAAGGTCGTAAAGCTGTGCTGTGTGTTGTCTGTCGTAGACTGCATGGCCCTGATATGCATTTAAGTTGAGAGTTGAAAGGTCATATTCGCACCAGTGATGTCATAGTCTGCATGGCCACCCCTGACCTGCATTTGAGGCTGCGCTGCATGTGACCAATGCAAAATGTTGTTAGACTGCATGACGGAGCCTTTGCTAAACTCCCATCTAACTCAAGTACACTCTTCAAATGTCAAAGTTTACTGACTGTGTGTACAGGTTGGTTTTGGACCATGAGGGTACAAAGGTCTTAGTCTAACATGTATCCGGCTGCATGCACCTGTACTGCACTGTACTGATGTCTATGAGGCTTGGATTTACACCATTTTATTGAGGAAGATGAAGGGTAAGCTGCCTGCCATCGGCTTGCAGAAATCATCACAAATTACTATGGAAACAATCATCACTGATCTCTCTTGAATCACATCATACTTACTACATGTAGCTACATATACATTTTGTACCTGATGACATCATGCGTCACCATGGGGATGATGTTGCTATGGTAACAGTTTCCATGACGACAGTAACCATGGTAACCTCCTCCCTTCTAGTCTCGTCCTACCAGTTGCCTGCGATGAAGGGATGGCAGAAGGACGGGGATGCGGAGGAGGAGATGACATCATACGTTGCCATAGAGACCCCGCCCGACAACATCCCGCTGTCTCCGTCCTGCAGCGGAGAGTTCATCCTGGTGGACCTCAGGAGGAAGAAAGGTCAGCTCTTCTTCCAAATAAGGGCTCTGTTTCCTGGAATTTTATAACTCTTCTTCCTAATAAGGCACTGTTTCCTTTCCTGGAATTTCTAACTTTTCTTCCAAATAAGGATTTAAAACTTTCCAAATAAGGTCACTCTGCATGTCTTTAGCTTCCTGGAATTTGCAATCTTTCCAAATAAGGTCTTACCTTCCATTTCGATTGGTTTCTTTCTGGAATACTGCCTGTTATCTAAAGTGTGTTTTACTCGTGATTCTCCAGCACTTGTGTCTGCAGTCAACTCTGCGGTGGACGCCATCTTGGGTCACTTCGGAGAGGCAAGGGAACCCTCAGCCAAGGTAAGACCATTGTTTTTGTGTGCGAGAATTTGGTTTGGTTGGTACCTCTGTGTTTACAACTTACTCTCCAAGCATTAGCTTTTTATATGGCCCTTTTATTGTCGCTAACCCCGTTGCTCATGGTCGCTCTCTGGCCATGCAATTGGATTCTGCCAGGCCAATTTGATCCTAGGATCTGCTTGGAGATTATTTACAACTATAAAATGATTTATTTGTGCTTTTATAACTACAGGCCCGATTAGGAAACAGCAGTAAGACCCCGAACATCGGGCATCTGGTCCTGCGTTACCTCTGTCCCGCGGTGCTCGCGCTGGTCGAGGACGGACTCAGACCCTTTCTCAGGAACCCGATCGTCGGCAGGGTCAAGAACAACGTCTGGAACGTCGTGGAGGCTTCAACGCAGATGGGTGAGTCTTGGAAGATGTCTTGGGCTTATTTTTTTGGTTCTTAGATATTAAGAACAACATCTGAAATGGCATGATGATGTCTTAAAAGAAGGGTTATTCTTGTGACATTCTAACTTACATACTTCATTTACTATACAGATGGCACATACATGACATTCAATCATGTACATGTTTGTACATCCAGACAGTTTGGAAGTGCAGTAATATGGAGGAGCAAAATGTAACATGGCACCTAATTTCATCTGTGAAATTTGATAGAATGTAAAAGCTACAACTTTGTATAGTTTTGCTCGAACATATTTGTGCTAACCAACCTGATAAAAGTATTCACGGATGTATGTGTTCATGTATCTTTCAGGCCCGGCCACCAAATCCCTGCACAAGTTGTTCAACCACCTGAGCAAGACTGGGCAGATGTGGGACGTCAACATGAGGTTCAACGCTTTCGTCTGTGGGCTGCTCAAGTAAGTATAAGGAACACCCCTGCTGCACATTGGTACAGGCCATGTTTCTGTTAGGGTGATGGCAGGTTTGGACTGAACCATAATGTTGATAGGGGGGTGAAAGTATAGTGTTCAGATGTGGGACGTCAACATGAGGTTCAACGCTTTTGTCTGTGGGCTGCTCAAGTAAGTATGAGGAACACCCCTGCTAGTCAGTGGTACAGGCCACATTTCTGTTACAGTAGTGCCTGATTTGGACTGAGCCAAAGTGATGGGAGGAGTAATATAATTATATTGATTTCCATGCTTTTTTTTAGAAAACTGATTGAAAATGTTTTTTTTCCAGTTTGAAGGCTGTGGAGTTGTGGCTGACACACTTACAAGCTCGCTATGGTGAGTATATATATGTAACATTCACACTGAACTGAAAAATGCATGTTATACAGATATGGACACTTCAAGATTAAGATCTAGAGTGTGTAACTTTTCTGCTTATTCCTACAGACATAGTAAAGAATTCGAAGCAGTAACATGTACATTGTATTATCCCAAGTCCTTCTTAAACCCTGAGCCACACACAGTTGTAGCTTTCAATTGTTCCATGACTTCTTTAATTTCCTAGCTGACATACACATGCAATTTATTGTAAGTCAAGGTTTAGGTCATTGGATTAAAACATTCTAATTTTTCTCCCACTATCCCTACAGACATAGTACAGAAACATTACATCCCGGAGGCCTTCCTAACGCTGAGTTACACGGCAGGCAGGCAGCTGTTTGATGATGTGGTGGTGATCGTGCAGCCTCTCTCCCTCCTGCCCTTCGCTCTGGACACTCAGTTCGAGTTCAACATCAAACAAGAGGTCAGAGACCATCCTTTGTAAAAAGTCTGTTCCAATATAGGAATGCCACACCATTGTAGTATCTTGGTCCAGTCTGATGTTTTAAAGCTACAATTGTTAGCAAGAGAACAACATGTACAGTGTACATAAAAACAGAGGGCTGTGAGGAAAAGTTGAATTTGATTACATTCCCTCCCTGAAAATGTGTACTACCAACTTAGGTACAGACTTTCCCCTCTTTGTTTTTTGATTAGCTCAGCATTATTCTAAATCCTAGTACTAGCTACTGTACATTGTGCAAATTGCTGTGGCCTAAGAGCCCAGCTATAAGTCTTTGTTTCCCTGACACAAATGACAAGATTTAGGAACTAAGCAGAGTGAAAATTAATTTGCTGTGTTTCCACCAGGGACACTTGTCATTTAAAGGTCACACTGTTTCATTTTCTTGACAAGAGAATGGTTTCAAGAACAAATATGATTTATTCTACGCCAACTCACATCAATCATTATGGAAGGGTTCTTTTCAAAACAGCTAGGTAACAAAAACATAACATAGATAACAAACATTGAGATGTGTCATGAAACATCATTGAAAGCAGCACTTCTTTTTTTCCAAATTTGTAGAGTAGGAATTTTGTGTATAGGCAGAAACCCTATTTCACAGTTGTAATGGGGCTGTTTTCTAAAAGTGATTTTGACAATTTGAATACAAGGAGTGACTTAATTTCTCAATGCCAACATGGATAAACTGACCTCATTCAAGTCAAGGTCTTTAAGATTTCTTGAGTCGACATCACTGTCATTCTTGAAGAAAGATGAGAAAGAAGATGAAGAAGAAGAGGTACTGTGACAGTAAGACGTCTTATTTCTGCAGGGGCAGAAGCTTACATTTGTAATCGTCATTGAATACTGAGCTACAATATACTGTTTAAAATATTACATGTATAACCTCCATATTTAATACATGTATAGGAATTTGGAAATATTGCTTATAATCTTGCTGTAGATTTTGGAAAATGGAAAATGGAAAATTCTAACACTAAACTAGGCAAAGAGCAGCACTCTTGGATTGTGTAAGAGAAAAAAAACCCAGAATGGATTCCTTCAAATAGACTTGTGAGGTATAATACATGTATATTAGAATTGTTGAAAACTACTGTCATATTTTTGAATGAATGTAAAACTAATGTCTTAAATATGTTCTTAATGTTCAGGAGATGGAACGAGAGATTGGGAAACAGCGTCTTAAGGAGGAGGCAGCAAGGACGTCCCCAAGGTCAACCTTCCAGATGATGACGGGGAAACGGGTTCCACGGTATCAACCAATCAGCAGCGAGAAACAGGAGGAGCAGGAGGAGGTGTTGGTACAACAGGTGGTGCTGGACAGGTGAGTGGGAGGGATGGATGGAGAGAGTGAGTGGGGAAGGAGTTATGCTGCCTGGGTGGCCAATGTGTATTGCCCTGTTGCGATTGAATAAAAATAAAAATAAAATAAAATGAAGTAGGGTGTTAGTGTGAGGGAGACTGTTTAAGTTGGTGAATGAGCAGATGAATGAAATTGTTGTGTTGTAGGATGGAAGAATAAAGGTCAATGACCTGGAAAAGACATCTGTCACCATGGTAACTACTGCTGTAGCAGACACCCTGTGGTGTTGGGATACATTATGTAGCAAGTGGGAGGATAGAGTTGGAGGTGCTGGTCAATGTGTTATTATCAATGTGTTTGTGTAAGACTAAACAGAGCAGTTACTGTAGTAAAACTAAGCAAAGTAGGAAGAAGGTAAGCATTATGCATTTACTTTGTAATGTTACCTAGCTATTCATGCTTTCTTTTTTAACCAATAGAAGACCAGAGGAAACTCCAGTTCAACAAGACCAGACTCCTAAAGAGGAGATCGACTCAGCAGCTGGGGAGGAGCAGCAGCCTACAGAACAGCCAAAGAACCAGAACTGGTGGTTCCAGTTAATGAACAGCACCCCTGTGGAGGCAGTAGGTGACAGGAAAACATCACAAACAACATCTACAGTATCAGAAACCAGCAGTGAGGCAAACACAACTTCTGTAAGGTAGGGAGATACATGTAGTATGAGGCTTGTCATATCCAGAACCGTACTTTAATTTATTTTCTAGTTTTACATATGTCTGAATGGGTTAGGGTTAGGATAAGGCACGGTTCTGGATAGCCTCTATTGTATCCAGAGCCGTGCCTATCTACATTTGTAGCCTTTATGTGCAATTTTCTGATTGCATATAGACAACATAGCCAGCCTGGTAGAAATACCCCCATTTTTAGATCTGGGCTAATCAGAAAACAGCCAAAGACCACCAAACCCCCAGTTCTATAAGCCTGCTACGGAGGCTAATCAGAAAACAGCCGAAGACCACCAAACCCCCAGTTCTATAAGCCTGCTACGGAGGCTAATCAGAAAACAGCCGAAGACCACCAAACCCCCAGTTCTATAAGCCTGCTATGGGGTCTATAAAGTACCCTCATATCAAATTTTAAGTCAGAGGTATCAACACGCAAGACTCCTTATGATTCCTTTTGAGACTTTGCTCAGGCAGACTGCCCTTAACTCTAGTCAGCTCAACAACAAAGAAATGACTCCAAAGTCCCCAACACAATGTTTGTCATTGACATGTGCGTGAATGACTAATGTTTGGATCATTCTTTACAATCTAGGTGTGATTGGCATTCCATCATCATGCCATGCATGTTGTAGTCTCAGACCAAATATAGTGCAATGTAGTATTAGCCTGAGTTTGTGCCATCCTATTTTTATACCAGGCATCCAAAATTGGGGATGAACCTCCAATATAATGAAGTATATAATTGGAGACCTGGTATACAAATAGGACATTGGCACCCTTGCAGGCTAAATGATAGTACTAGTAAGTTTTTCTAAAAATATTTTGTAGACTTAATTAAAGGAAGAAGGAAGGTACATCTACATGTAGGCTACAATATTTCTACAGACAATTTAATAAAAGATAACATTTTTAAGGATCCAGGAATACTAAATATTACAGTTTGTACTTACTGTTGTAGTCTGTCATCCTGCAATATATTCAATGCAGATATCAAGTAATGTCAAACTTAACCTCAGTCCAATTCTCTGTTAGTATCAGGCTAGTATGATGTTTTTTCTTCAATCAGTGTTTTCCTTCCTCAATCACCTTTGCAACATTGTCATGTCCCATTTCAACTGCAGCTTGATACGGAGTCTTGCCAGTTTTGTCTTGTATAGAGATATCAGCCCCTGCTTCGATAAGTGCTTTCACAACGATCATGTGTCCTCGGTGTGCTGCTATCCACAACGGCGTCTTTTGTTTCACGTCTGCCTTGTTCAAGTCTGCACCTGCTTGGGTCAAGATGCTTACAACTCGTGCATGTCCAATTTCAGCCGCTACCGATAGTGGAGTCCTTGCTTTATGATCTGCCATGTTTAAGTCAGCCCCTGCTTGTGTCAGAATCTTCACAATCGGTGTATTACCCCTCTGTGCTGCCTCCCACAGTGGAGTCCTTCTCTCATTGTCTGCCTTGTCCAAGTCCGCTCCTGCTTGTATAAAAATGCTCACCACCTCAGCGTGTCTACTCTTAGCGGCCATGTACATTGGAGTCTTTCCCTTATGATCTGCCATGTTCATGTCAGCCCCCTTTTCTATCAGAATACTCACAACCTCTCTATGATTACTCCAAGCCGATACCAACAGTGGAGTTCTCCCCTCACCATCTGCCTTGTTCAAATCAGCTCTCGCTTGTGACAAGATGCTCACGACCTCAGCATGTCCATTCTCAGCTGCCACCAACAGTGGAGTTATCCCCTCATCATCTGCCTTGTTTAAATCAGAACCAGCTTTTGTTAAGACCTTCACAACGGGTACATCTCCCCTCTGTGCTGCTAGCCACAGTGGAGTCCTTCCTCTGGGATCTACCATGTTCAGTTTGGCGCCTGCTTGTATCAGAATGCTCACAATCTCAGCATTGTTACCAATCTGAGCTGCTAACAACAGAGTGCCGCCTGTCTTAGCCCCTTTCTGTAGCAGGAGTTTGACGATGTTAGGATGTCCGCCCCTCACTGCATCCCAGAGTGGTGTTTCTCCCTCGGAGTTCTCTGTGTTCACCTGTACACCTGCCTGTAGCAGGGTCTTCACCTTGTCTTCGTCACCTGTCCAGGCTGTTATCCTTAACAGTGCATCTCTCCAGGCGTCTCTCAGTTCCTTGTTGGTTTGTGTAGATTCTTCAGAGTGTTCACCTGTTTCCTTCATTTCTGACAGCACGAAAACGTCCATAGCTTCCTCCACTATCTCTGACACTTCTTCTTTGAGCTGTTCCATCGTCAGAACATTGACGTCTAAGGGACATTTGAGCCCAGTTTTCTCAAAGCCTGTCTGTAAGTCAGTGGCGAGCTTCCCACTTTCTTGGTGCTTGTTTAACTCACTGATGCTTTCGTCAGTTTTGGGAAACATCTGTACACAGACTGAAGATGACCAATAGTCACCGATGTCGAAATCTTTGTAATGTTTAACGATAATTTCCTTGCACAAGTCGAGACTATCGTCGTCAAGTTCACTCCCATCTGGTGTTTCTATCACGAGATAGAAGCACTTCTTACCCTTTTGTTTCGCATGCTGCATGCTTCTAACCGAACATTTTACAAACTTCAAGTCATTTGAGTGGCCTTTTCTTTTATGACGTTTTCCTTTACTCGCTTTTCTTGCTTTCTTCACACTTGTCTTCTTGACTTTCTTGTCTTCCTTAGACAATACAATAGGTATAGGTGACAACGGTGGAGTTTTGGAAGCTCGACTCATTTCGAATTCAGGGATGTTGAGCTGTGCAGTATCCTGTAGATCTGGGAACTTTTCTTTCAGTCTATCCACAAGGTCTTGTCTTCTTATCTTCTTTAAAGCATTCAGTAGTTCCTGTACTGTTGCCTGCTTTCCTTTTTGCCGCCGCCATTTTTCCAGCATCGTACGATTCCGCCATATCAGATTTAAAGCCTGACTCTTGTAAGTGTTCATGAGTTCTTCTACTATGTTGTACTTCAGTCCCAGTTCCAAGCCGAGGTCGATCCAGTCCTCCCCCAGGTCTGACTGCACGATTTTAAAAGCTGCTTCCAACTCTGTCTCTGTCTCTGTGTTACCTCCGGCCGCCATCTTGTTTGGTACTTACTTGTACTTCTTGAGGTCTCCTTATTTTCTCATAAGTAGCCTGTGTCAAGTACATGTAGTCTCTTTTGCCTCATTGGGCTAGCATAAATTCAGTCCAGTAGCTGTTCATCTTGTTAGCTCAAGTTGTTTGACTGTACAACGTGAAAATTCAAACTCTGTCTCAGTCTGCATTTTTACTTCCTGCTGCCATTTTTCTTCAGTGGGGTAGTGTAAACTGTTCCCACTATCGGTTATAATCTGTCACTTGTAATCAAGTTGTTTGTATTGTACCTGACCATTGGGTCAACCCTGTCTTTGCATTACCTTTTCCTGCTATCTTGTTTGGCTCTTACTTGTACTTGTTGAGGTCTTATCACATCTTCTCATGAGTAGCCTATGTCAAGTACTTATCCCTTGCTTTGGTGGAGTAGCGTAAATAGTTGCCACTACCAGTAATTACAGTACATGTCACTCACCCACCCACCCACTCAACACCGTATGCTCCAGGGAGCGTAGCATCTCGCCTAGTTGTCTTTAATAGAGACAGGTGGTTAGCCGGTTATTTGGTGTACAGTTCTTCCGGGTGTTAGAAACAAAGTCATACCAGTGGTAGCCAAGAATCCTGCGCAGACATTTTTGGTCAAAATTGTTCACAGTAGCGCTGCTCTGTAGATGTAAGGGTCCAGGCCTCTATGCCAACTTTTGCCTTGGTTATGTAGTGTAAATTGTTGCCGCTATCAGTAACTGCCAACTGTACATCATGTGAGCTGAAGTTGTTTGTGTCGTACCAACATCGAGTTAACGGACTTTACCCTGACGCGTTTGCTTTCTTTACTGCCTCAATCAGTCCCTGCTACTCAATATTTACAAAGTGCCTCGAGCAACTCTGACTGCACGTCATTACTAAACTCACATATCAGCATTCCACACCCGGATAGCAAATATTGAATTTTGCAGTCTCAAAATTAATCAGGAGAAAACTTGATAACAAAGCAGCAATTGTCTTGAAACTAGCTAGTGCAGCATTGTTCATAACTACTTCTTACTGGAACATCACGAAGCAGAAATAGCAGTAGTGTTGCCAAGCAGTGTAGGATTAGTGTTGCCAGACTGGGAGTGAATTACAGATTGATATCATTGAAATTAATTAAGGAGCTGGTTCAAACAAAGAGAGCACTCAGGTGCTAACAAGGGCATGTTAATCATGAGGTCTGAATTATGTATTAAATAATATGAAATGATTGTTCATTGTGGTATATTGTGGAACAACTATCATTTAGGAGAGGGTGGAGCTTCATGCACATATGTGTTTTAGAAGGCCTTGTTTAAATATGAACTTCTCATGTGATGACACTGTTTGTAAGCCATGTGGTAGAGAGTTCCATGCTGCAGTAGTTCTGTATGTGAAGGCTTTGAATAAACATATTTCTCTTCCTCATTCTCTTTCAGAAGCAAGCTGTGGCTAAGCAACCTGATTGGAGCAGGCCCCAGGCCCAATCAGGAGGCAAGGTCAAAAGTCAAGGTCACATCAGAGGTCAAACAAGAAGATGAACAGGTAAAGCACTAAACTTCATGTTTGTGTTCTTTCTAATCATACATTACTGTATGTTACACGCACGCACGCGCACACACACACACACACACACACACACACACACACTTGCACACACACACGCACACATGCACACACATGCGCGCACACACGCATGTACACACACACATGCACACACATACACATGCACGCACGAACGCACACACACACTTGCACACGCACACACATACGCACGCACACACGCACACACACACACACACTCAGGAACGTAACAAAAAAGTAACAATTCTCTTTATTTCCTCCGCAGAAGCCTCCAAACGGCAGGAAGTCCAGATGGGCCAGCTTCAGCTCCTCCTTCATCCAGGCTGTGGACCGCGTCCTCCTCCCAACATCCAGCCGGGCGGGGCACACTCCGCCTCCGTCTCCTAGGCAACGCCATGGCATCCCGACCCCACCCTCATCTCCTAGGCAATGCCATGGCAACCAGAGCCCACCCTCGTCTCCTAGGCAACAGCATAGCAACGAGACCCCACCTCCATCATCCTCTTGGCAACAGTATAGCAACCAGTCTCCTAGGCAACAGCATAGCAACCAGATACCATCCTCATCACCTGGGCAATGCCATAGCAACCAGATCCCATCTCCTAGGCAACAGCATAGCAACCAGACAGTGAGAAGAGTCCCAGATGTGTTGCAGACCCAGAGGAGAGGAGACAAAAGGTGTGAAGAGAGAACGTTGTGGTGTTCTGTGCTGTATGTTGTAACTGTGCAGTCTTACGTACAGAGGACGTGTCTGTTCATCTTTGTCTGAAATGCTGGTCTTTTCAGAGTTGCATTAAATGTTTTTCTTAAATTCATTACACTTCATTCTGTACACTTTGATGCAGCATACTCTAGTATGTATCATTATGCTGATCACTGTATCTATTTCTAAAGATCTTTCCTCATTCTTCATGCTATCTGGTCTCTTTGTCATGTGGTCCTGTCATTCTCACAAGGGTTGTTCTGTGTTACAACAATCATTCTGTCCTGATTTTCCACATCACACTGTAGTTTCTATCCAAGTTTTTTCTGAGTGCATTAAGTGAACACTATGGGATAGTAGAGCCAAGCAATGGTTTTTAGTTATGTCTAAAGCCATGTACTATGTTTTTTTTCTTCTGAAACTGTTAATGATGACTTGATGACAACAAAATGTAAGGTAAACGGATACTGTTGGATGATACAGTTTTGATTTTTTTAGTCAAAATTTCCTTTTTTTTGGCACAAGAAATTGCAAAATCGGCATTTAAATCTTGGGTTGGGTAAGGCTGGCCTTCCTCAAAATACCCAGCATGCGTTGTGCTTGCAGAATCTTCGTTTGCATTTTTTCATAATTTTGCTCAACATCCATAGACATTAATGCTTCAATTGGACAAATGAGAATGTATAATTTTTTGCTGACCCTGCTTTTCTATCCTTGGTGTTTTGTTCATTTGACAGTCTTTCCTGATTTTGCATTTTCCATTTGTTGAAGTTTTGTTGCTTTCACCCATTACCTTCCTATCCTGACTCATTTACATGTTTGTGATTTCTTGTGTCTGTCATGTTTGTGACTTTTGGTGTCCACTGATTTGCATATTTGTGACTTATGGCGTCCACTAATTTGCATGGTTGGGATTAATTATTTTTACATAACCGTGACAATCTCTTGACAATTTGTGTGGGTCTTCTTTAAAGCAAGAAGGTCTAATAGAAATATTAATCTTCCTTGTTTAAAGCAAGTTTTATTTGGTGAAATGGTCATTTTGACTAACATGTACTTACTTGTGTGTCTTTCAGTTACACAAATTTAGTCTATTAGTCTGCCAAATATCATTTAAAACAGTTTTACAAACAAAATAGTTGCACAAGACTAATTGTAGGCACTTCCCCCAAACTAATGCATGCTCAGAATGTGTTGCTGTTATTTATTCTGCAGATTTTATTTGATGCAGTAAAAAAAAAGTACTTTGATAATAGTATGCGACTAAACCTCGTTCCCGGGTTATTTTTACGGAAGGTCCCTCTCTCCCTCCCAGGGTAGTGAAGGCGTTGTGTCATCACCTAGCAACGGAAGACGGACAGCTAAGTCTGACGAAGGGCGACATTCTTACCGTCGTTCAGAAGGTCGACGACGATTGGCTGCTGTGTTGCCATGGTGACAAAACGGGCCTGGTGCTGACCGGCTGCGTCAATGACCTTGACCTCCTGTGAATGACCTTGACCTGTTCTGACAGGTCATAGGTGGTCTTTTCTAAGGTTGGCTGCATCAATGACCTTGACCTCCTTTGAATGACCTTGACCTCCTCCAACAGGTCATAGGTCGTCTTTTCTAAGGTTGGCTGTGTCAATGACCTTAACCCTCTGTGAGCGACCTTGACCTTAGCCTAGGTCATAGGCCATCTTTTCTATGGTTGACATTTCTGCAGTTACAATGCATTAATTTTCTAGTGATAATGTATGAAAAAAATCTCGCAATGCTAGCACAATCATTGAGGAAAAACAGCTAGATTTCTTGCATTGCAGGCTCAAAAGTGTTTTTTTGTCTTTTAGTGCAATATTTGACTGCTAATGATAAACCTGCACACTAGGACAGTGTTTGACTAAAGACACATGAGAATTCTTACTAAGTCAGGAATGGAACAACATACATTGTACATGTATGTTACATGCTGAAGTGCATGGTTGTATAACTCTCCAAGCAGAGATTGGGCTTGTTTTGTCTTTTTTAGGTGTTTTAAAACCTCTTCCCAGGCTTTATATGTTGTCATTTTTTCTTTGGGTATATTACTAGTGAAGAAGAGATTAAAAGAAGAGATTTAAGGACTGTCTAAAGAAATCTCTGTCTTCGTGCAACATCGACCATAGTCAGTGGTCAGCTCTTGCCACTGACCGAGCTGCCTGGCGACATACAGTTCATGACTCAGTCTCTGCCTTCGAGAGGAGACGCAGAACTGCCCTCGAAGAGAAACGCAGTAAGAGGAAGAACCGCACCGTCACGGCTCCAACACCAGACTCGTCACTTACCTGCAGCCACTGTGGCCGAGTATGCCGGTCACGCATCGGACTTGTCAGCCACCAGCGGGCATGCAGTAGGAGAGGGAAGGACCCTTAAATCTTCGGACAACGAAGCCAAGCCAAGAAGAGAATATTACTAGTAACCAAACGTCTGAAAAACTTCCAAAACAAGCCAAATATCTGCTTGGAGAGAAGGTTGTATAGTCACCATAACTTTGGTGTGAAGTTGAATGTTTGTTGGACTAAGGTCCACTGTGTATATAGAAAAGCACATATGGCAAAACAATTCACCTGTATCAAAATCAGGTGTATAAAGTTTGCTACACCTGTATGAGTATCAGGTGTCCAATGTTTGCTACACCTGTATCATGTAAAGTGTCACACAAACGATGGTAATGCTGGCATATGTATATAATACTTGTATTTTACTCATACTGTATCAGGCTGGATGTATAAAAAGTGACACAGTGGAACTAGCTACAGTGGCGTTTGATACATTGTTGCAACTTTCTATATTCTCTTGCCAGTTATGTTGCAATAACTACAATGCAGTACTGTTTATATATTAATTTCTAAATTTTATGTACAAAATAGATTTTATACTGCTACAAGCAAACAGGAACAATTATGCTTTGAAAATTATATAGTATTTATTATATCATTATAAATATATCTTATAATATGTAAGCATAGCTATATGTTTAACAGTATCAAATGCTACGAAAGAAGAGATTGAAATTTATTTATTTATGCATCTTTGAGTAACAACTTATTTTTGCAACTGTCATCAGATGAATTTAAGCCATAAACACAGGAAACTGTAGACATTTTTTAAAACATTCAATTTGTCAGTCGATCAGCCCTGAATTTTGCTTATTCAAATCTGTATAGTAGCAGCATCCCATGCAGACAATCTTGTTTTCTAACTGTAGCATGAAACGACAGAAGAACTAAATTTGATTTGTGTAAGATCTGTGACTCAGAGAGGTCAGTTCTACTGTAATTCTCTCGGCAATGAAAGGAGTGCGTGAATAATTCAGCACCGTGAGTCACTGGTGTGATACAGGTTCTAACCGGTTTGTCCAGCATGCGTGCTGGTCTATAGGCAGGCCTGTTACATTATTTATAACTAGGAGGAAATGTCAGCATAAATTTGCACTGAGAGATTAGGAGTTAGAATTTCGATCTTTTTTTTATATTCTGTGATCAGGCCACACCAATTTAATTTGTTGATTCTCAGATTTTTTCAGAAAAAATATGAAGCGACAGGGCGAAAAAAAATAAAAATAAAAACAGGTCTAGGCATCCTATTATAGGCTTAAATGCTACAAAATGAGCCATGAAGTCAACACAAAAGGCTGGGTTAAAATTTAAACATTGAATTTTTAACTTTTAATCAAACTACTGCAATGATAGATGGGAAAACTGTAACAACTAGGAAGAAAAGGACTTTCCTCAACTGTTGGGGGGCAAAACATGAGCATTTTTCAGTTGATTCAGGACCAGAATCAATTTTTTTTTTTTTGCAAATCAGAAAAAAACGAAGAGGCGAATCCGAGAACCAACAAATTAAATTGGTGTGGCCTCAAGATGTTACATTTGTTCATTTCTTGCCTTTTTTTTACATGTTACATTTAGTTATGTCCAAATATGGGAATGGCAGGACCACAAGCAGCAGTGTAAGTAAGATGACCATATATGGTAACGGTGTGATCATGTGACAGTCACATCGACAATCTCCATATATGGTCATGATCTCCATATATAGTCATGATCTCCATATATAGTCATGATCTAAATATATAGTCATGATCTCCATATATAGTCATGATCTCCATATATAGTCATGATCTCCATATATAGTCAAGATTTTGTCATCAGACATGGGCCATTACAAATCATATCACAAATTACGTAATATTCTGCTCTTTTTTTACATATTTAATTCACTACAACAGTTTCATCACATAAAAGGTAGAAACCATGACTGCAAAGCTCTGTTCCCACAGTAAGTTATAGATAATGATTACATAAATCTATGTTCGCATTATGTACACTAATACAGTGTATGAAACAATGTGTTGTATAGGTACAGTAGTTACATTGTATACGTTAGTGAGGCTGGAGACTCCACTAATGTTTAACGCACTTCTGTATATTCTAGAAACTTGGCAAACTGATGACTGTATAAACTACATGTATTGGTGTGGGTATGTATGTACATACTGCATACAGAGATATGGTAGGTAAATGTGAACGTGAAAGTTCACAGTTGTATAAGCTTGGTATTGTGATGTGGTAGGGGTAAGTGTTTGGATATGTGTAAGAAATAAAAGCTTTCAAACATTTCAGAGCTGTGTTTTGCTTTGTCTGATGAATATATGTACTGTACTATTCTCCTAAGTTATGTACCTTATAACATTTTATTTATCTTTCGACTGTGCCAATTTTATCTGTTACTTCTTTCATTTAACTTATTTATTTCATTATGGAAGAGCTGGATTCAATGCGGACCGTACCATGTGTGATAATTACATAGGGGTGCGAACCTGCTTGGTCATTTATTTAATTGAGTAATACCATAATTTTATTTGAAGAATACCCACGAGTGAGAAGAAAATTCTTACTATCTCACGGCCCTAAGAATAGGTGCTGTAAAAGGAATGCAATTGTTGGTTTCGCACCTCTTATAGACACTAACACAGTGCCGCGATTTTTTAGATATGGGTCTTTCCTTGGTGCTGAACTCACCATCAGTTCCATGTAATGCAGTAGTATCGTACTGCACGGATAAACGACTGGCTTTTTCTGTCAACTTCAATCTGTTGAAGGTTCTTACACGAGGGGGGAGGGGGTTGTTGCTAGGTTTCGTAACATTTGTTGTTTTGTCTAAGGCATCCAGTGCAGTTTTTAGGGCTTGGGAAACCAGATTTTTCAAAGTCATAATTTCCAGTCACTTATATACATACTAAGTTGAAACAACACTGTCCCAATGTAGTTAGGCTCTGATGAAAGATTATACAATAAAATTTCTGAACATACGATAAAATTTTAATTGAAAAAAAAAAAACAACGACAAAATGGGGCTACACCAATGCGCAAGTTACACACTTATTTCAACAGCTCCACCTGCCATTTAACTTAATTCTGAACAATACAAAATAGATAAATAAGAATAAACTTTACAGTGTTTGCTAAAACAACCCCTTCCCCCATTTATCAATATTGATGTTAATAATATATGTTTAATGTGATCAATGTCTGCTCTGCACTACAGCATGAAAACTTTCAACTCAAACGTCTGTAGTGGTACTCAAGCTTTTCATGATTTGCTATAAGGGTCTAAGCTCCTCTATACTGACACTAATCAAATCCATATATTCAGTTCAGTATTCAACTCATATATAGCTGCAGTAAATGGCTATGTACAGTGTGTGTTTGTAACGTACTTTGAACAAAATAAGAATACTATTTACGTCCTGTTGTTTGTCAAATTGTCATTTCAAACTCTAGTATAGTTACTGTACAATTCTCTGTTAATGTCAGGTTTTCAGTTGCCTTCATGTCTTAACTTTGGCCTTCCTCAATCACCTGTGCAACATCAATGTGTTTCCTTTCTATGGCAACTTGGTACGGAGTCTTGCCAGTTTCGTCTGGTTTGGAAATGTCTGCTCCTGCTTCGATAAGTGCTTTCACAACTTCCATGTTTCCACGGTGCGCTGCTGTCCACAATGGTGTCTGTTCATCCTTGTTTGCCTTGTTCAAGTCAGCCCCCGCTTGTATCAAGATGCTCACGACCTCTGCATGTCCATCCTCAGCTGCCCACCACAGCGGAGTCCTATTAGTATCGTCTGCCTTGTTCAATTCGGTCCCCGCTTGTACCAAGATGCTCACGACCTCTGCATGTCCATTCCCAGCTGCCACCCGCAGTGGAGTCCATCCCTCATCATTTGCCTTGTCTCCCAAGTCAGCCCCTGCTTGTGTCAAGATTCTCACGGCCTCTACATGTCCATTCCAAGCTGCCACCCACAGTGGAGTGTGTCCCCCATTGCATGCCTTGTTCAAGTCCGCCCCCGCTTGTATCAAGATGCTCACGACCTCTACATGTCCTTTCTCAGCTGCCACCCACAGTGGAGTCCTTTCCCAGTCATCTGCCTTGTCCAAGTCAGCTCCTGCTTGTGTCAAGATGCTCACTACCTCTACATGTCCCATCTCAGCTGCCGTGGAGAGTGGAGTAAATCCCTCATCATCTGCCTTGTTCAAGTCTGCCCCTGCTTGTGTCAAGATGCTCACGGCCTCTGCATGTCCTCTCTCAGCTGCCACCCACAGTGGAGTCATTCCCATTTCAGCAGCCTTGTTCAAGTCAGCTCCCGCTTGTGACAAGATGCTCACGATCTCAACATGTCCTTCCTTAGCTGCAAGGTACAGTGCAGTTCTCCCCTCATCATCTGCTTTGTCCAAGTCCGCCCCTGCTTCTGTCAGGATGCTCACAACCTCGGCATTACCACCCTCAGCCGCCAACTGTAGACAAGTCTGCCCCATACCACTGTCTGTGCTTGCCCCTGCTCCAGGGTCTGCCCCTTCTTGCAGTAGAAGTCTAACGATGCTAGAATGTCCGCCCTTCACTGCATCCCAGAGTGGTGTTTCTCCCTCGGAGTTCTCAGTGTTCACCTGTACACCTGCCTGCAGCAGGGTCTTCACCTTGTCTTCATCACCTGTCCAGGCTGTTATCCTTAACAGCGCATCTCTCCAGGCGTCTCTCAGTTCCTCGTAGGTTTGTGTAGATTCTTCAGAGTCTTCACCTGTTTCCTGCGTTTCTGACAACACAAAGACGTCCATAGCTTCCTCCACTATCTCTGACACTTCCTCTTCAAGCTGTTCCATTGACCGGACATCCCCCTGCAAAGGGCCACTGAACCCAATTTTCTCATACTCTGTCTGTAAGTCAGTGGTGAGTTGGCCACTGTCTAGGTACTCGTTCAGTGCTTTGATACATTCGTCAGTTTCTGGGAAGATTTGTACATAGATTGAAGACGGCCACATTTTGGCAATGTCAAGCCCTTTTCGTAAAACTTTGTGTTGTTTGAAAACTTTCATAATAGCGTCCCTACTCAAGTCTTTGTTAGCATTGTAGAATTGTGAAAGGTCTTCCATTGCCTTTCGTTCTAAGTGCTGAGCACCTGACACAAGTTCCTCCTTAACAGAGTCTTCAATCTTTATATAGCAGCACCTCATACGCATTTCTTTAGCAAGCTGTTGGCTTTGTACAGCATTTAGTGCAAACTCTAAACGTCTCACACCAAGTCTTGCACTTACAGTTGACGGACCTCTTGTTTTTCTTTGGCGAGATTTGACGTTCTTCTTTGCCTTCATGGTTGGTTTGGTACTTTTCTTGTTTTCCTTGTCTTGATCTCTTGCAGATTTGACTTCTTTGGCACTTTCTTTGTTTTCTTTGTCTTGACCTCTTGAGTGTGTCTTTGATTCCTTGGTGCTTTCCTTCTTTTCCTTGTCTTGTTCTCTTGGGGAAGTCTTGACTTCTTGCTCTTCCTCCAGCTGTAAAGAAGACACGCTCTTGAGGCAAAGTTGCTCTTCCACCCTGTCTACAAGGTCTTGTCTTCCTGTCCTCTTCAAAGCTGTCAGCAGTTTGTCTACTGTGGCCTCTTTTCCACTCACTCGCCTCCATTTTTCCAGCACAGTGTGATTTCGCCACATCAGATTTTCCTCTCTCATATTGCGGATTTCCTCTATGACGTTGTACTTCAGTCCTAGCTTTAAGGCAAGCCGTATCCAGTCCTTCCCCAGGTCCGACTGTACGATGTCAAAAACTGCTTCCAACTCTGGCAGTGTGTTACCTCCGGCCGCCATCTTGCTTCGGTGGGGTAGACTAAGTGAAATATATTCCCTGGTGACGCACTCGTCTGTTGAGTTGAAGTTGTTTGGCCAGAAAAATAACACTCTGCTGCTTTGTTACTGTATATAAATAAGCACCTCTCAATTACAAAAGACCCCCGTGTCCTTCAAAACAATATGGTTGACCCTAAACCTAACACACTAAAGCAACCGAGATAGATAGAGTTACATCTGTCAATACTGTTTTAGCTTAGCCTGGGTGCCAGACGCTGGCCTTCATAGGCGATTGATTTTTGTTTTTGTGGAAAGAAGCCCTAATGTCCGCTACAGTATCCACCGCCTAAGCCCAGGCTGCACTAAAACCCTTTGGACGCCAAGAGGTAGAGCCAGGGCGCCAAATCGGGGTCGGCGGGGCGTATGGCTTCCCTGACCGAAGGGTTTCTCTCATTCGCGGTAGGGGCTGGCACCCAGGCTATTTTAGCTTAGAAAGTTCACCTAATATATTGTTGGTCAGGCTTTTAGCTAGGATATTTTTGTTGTTGTAATTGGGTGTCCATTTTGTCCATGCCATTTGCAGCGAAGCCGGGCGGCAAGCGGCGCGGACACAAGCTTTCTAGGGGGGCTTTTTTTGAAATTTGCAATGCTCAAACCCTTCTTCCAGCAGTTTGAGTTGCAAATTTTGAGGAATACACGCTGCAGCCAAGTTTTTATTCCTTCGTCACAACATCTTAGTATTTATAGCAAGGCTGAAGGGAGGCATGTGTGCATGGCAGGGGTTGGGAGTGGAAAAAGTTGGGCGTCTTTAGGGTGTCCTACAAAAAAGTAGGGAGTAAAATTTTAGTTATTATTTTCAGTGCAGGGCGCCCAAAAGGTCTAGGAAACCTTTATATTAACTTATTATTGAGTAACCATCCAAGTCACAACCATGACAATTTGTACGGTTTACAAATTGTCAATGGAATAATTGAAAACACACGAAAATATTCACAATGTTTATTTGTATATTAATAATTGTATCTTTCTACATATTTGCTGTTGTTAAGTAATGTTAACCTTGCTTTAGAGTTACATGTTACAATATTTTCATAAGGACACTCTTTGTCACAGTTTAAGAATTGCAAAGTTTTCAATTCACTTTGTCAGCCACTTCTGACGCCTGGCAGAGTAACAAGCTGGGGAAAAAAAGTTTCCTGTTTCAGTCCTGAAAAAACTTAGGTTTGCATAGTAGGTAGGTATTATCTTGTTAGCCCTTTTTTACTCCTCTCTCTTTATATATATAGTGGTCTAACTTACAATACAATTTAATTTGCCAAGGTAAAACTTGCATGAGGAGACTTATATTTTTATGTCAGAAAACTGATTGTACAACATTTCATCACTTAGGTGTCAGATCATGGAGCTAGAAATGGTCGATCAGCTCAAAAAAATTATGTCCCTTGCAGGATCCACAAAAAAAGGCTAGGGTTGGCAGGTTTTTGAATGGTTGGTCAGAGAACAGGCCTACATGTAACAATTACATGTATAGCGTAACAATGTTAGCTACATGAAAAAGTGCATAGTTCCTGTCCACTTTGGTTGAATTTGCTCTCCGTAGTAGTCTCGGATTCGCAACGTTCCATGGCAAACCGCCACAATCTCTGCCAGATAATCGTCGTTGACACTGTCGGAATACTCCAGGTCAAGGTCGTGCAGACACGGGGCGTAGCTGGCCGAGCGATGGGGGATGTACAAGTCTTCAAATTCCTGGGGGGGAAGAGTAGGGGGTCAATATGACAATGAATGAATGACGACCTTTATTGCACATTTTTGCTACACTTGGCTAAGTACAGGTCACAACAAAACAAGATGAACAGATGCAAAACAAAACTAACCATTGTAATACAAATTCAATTTCTCGCTTTTCAGTTATTGTAGAAATCAAGGAACAGAACATAATATATACAACAACGTCTGAAATCTTAGCAGCACTTTTTTTTCTTCATTAATTTTCAGATTGCGCCTCCCTTTGGTGATGGCGTCGCACCTATGGCGCTCCCACCCCCGTATCCCATCATGAACCTTTTGCTGAGGGAAAAATATGTTGAGCTGGCTAGAGCTCTGTAGTGAGTTCTGACCTCATCGCTGGACCAGGTCTCCTCTCCCTCCTCCTCGAACACTCGCCTCTCCTTTTCCTTCAGCTTCAGCAGAGACTGACACCGGCGCCACCTGGCAAGGTCTGAGGGAAGTGCAGCAGTTACACACTACAGTCACACAATGCTTCAAAACACAGAAAAAGTTAAAGTTCCCTCTCGCATTAAGTGACGCATAAGGTGGTACATGGTGCCCATCTCCATTTTCAATAGCCCTGGGCCACACAGCAGTGCAATCACTACATCAGGGGGCTAGTTTTCTGGTAGTGGTGTGTGTTTAACTCCCAACTCCCATACACACTGTCAGGCCACTACAGCAGGGGGCTAGTCCACTGGCAGTGGTGTGTGTTTAACTCCCAACTCCCATACACACAGGCCACTACAGCAGGGGGCTAGTCCACTGGTAGTGGTGTGTGTTTAGCTCCCAACTCCCATACACACAAGCCACTACAGCAGGGGACTAGTCCACTGGCAGTGGTGTGTGTTTAACTCCCATACTCTTTCCCAAATATATGCCGAGTGCTTAGTACAAAAAAGAAACTGTTTTTCAAATCCCGAAAATTGACAGCAGCCAAATGCAAAGAAGTGCACAACACCTGAAATTATGGGTAGGAAGGGTTTGGATGTGATCCTCTTCAGCCCGGCCAGTCTCGCATCCCGTAACCGGGGGCAACAGACAAGGACGCGGCAGATGGACACATCCGTCAGGCCTGGTCAGGTTCAGGTGGAAAAACAAGAGAAACATAAAACTCTAGAAGGTGATAAGATATGTGAAGCAAATGCATAATGTTTACCTGCGCATGGTCTATGCCCTAAAAAACCACTACCCATACCTTATAAATAATTATCTTTTTTGTAAAATAACCTACTAATATAATTTGTTGGCTATACAGAATCATGTAACTGAATTATACCAGTATGCCTGATCTACATGTGTAGTGACTGTAACTTCTGGACTATATTTTTGCCTTAAACTTAAAATATCCATGAACCAGAGAAATACACCTAGATTGGTGAGGCTTAACATAAAGTTTATTTCTCTATATAGAGGCACTGACCGAGGTTCCAGCTGACGTCCAGTTCCTCCAGGAGCCCCAAACTCTCCACCATACTGACCAGGACCCCGTCTGACATGCCTTCTACACCTGCAGGAAGGGAATTAAATAATATTTAGTGATACAAGACTATTTCCTGAGAGGGATGAAGGCGGCTACATACATCAGGGCCCACCACCCTTCACTCAACTGCGACGGGGGCTAACATCGTCTACCAGATACCCGTGACCCAGTGTTGACGTCACTTCAAAGAAGCCACGTGACAAGCTTCACTGGGTCAGTCTACTGAGGAAAACCAGACTGGTTGAAAATTGGAAAAGAGAACTTTTTGTGTTGGATCTAAAGTTTTTAACTCTAAAAATAATTATAAAGAAATACTGACCAGACATCATGAGAGATCTGAGGTGCCTGCAGTTCTCCCCCAGCCTGACCAGTGTGTGCGCTGTAGACAGGCACTGTCGCAGGGACAGCTGCTGCAGGTTCACGCAGGCACCTACTACACCGGACAGCCCCGAGTCTGTGATCTCCTCACACCATGACAGGTCAAGACAAGTCAGCTGGAAGACAAACAAATAAACAAACAATTATGCAACTCAAATTTGGACACAGTGAATTTTGTACTTTTTGAGTACTGCCTATTGAATCATATCAATTTCAAAGCTTTAAAGCTACATGTATATTAGTTTGTATTTGTGTACAAAAATATAAATGGATAAAATGAATGAATGAATGCTGTATACGTTATTAGATAAATGAATGAATGGATGGATGGATGTATGAACAAATGAAAAAGATGGAGAAATAAACGTGGATAAATGCCTGTAAATGAATGAGTGAAGGAAGGAAGGATGGGATTGAGGAAGGATGGAAGGAAGGATGGAAGGAATTGAGGAAGGAAGGAAGGATGGAAGGAATTGAGGAAGGAAGGAAGGAAGGAACCCGGCCGAACTCACCCCCTCCCCCAGGACACCTGAGATTTTGTCCAGTGCCCTGTCTGTGATGTTGCACTCTGCTAGACTCAGGGTCTGGAGTTGGCGATTGTTCACAACCAGCGGGACCAAGCCTGCGTCTCCGATAAAACTCATCCCTGGGGGTTGGAGAAAAAAAAAGAGATCTTGAACCAGTTTAGCTACTCTTCCACTGGTTGTGATAGAGAAGACAGACGCTGTGTACAGTATTTACGGGTTTGTTGTACCGGGGAAATTCCACTAGCTCTTTTTGACGAGCACAATTAATAGAGGACCACGGCTTAACGTCCCGTCCTAAAGACTACAACCCTAAACAGTAGCGTGCATGTCGGGTGAGCGACAACAGCCGGGATTCGAACTCCCAACCTCTTGGTCCAGAGGCAGGTTCCATATCCCGTGATATGATGATGACTTACCTTTGACATCCAAATACTCGAGTTTGTTGCAGTTTTGTGCCAGACAAGCCAGACTGAAAGGAGAGGTCCTGTCACAGTCAATCTGCAAGGGAATGAATGAATGAATGAATGAATTGGTAAAACACATGGTTGTGTAACAAGAGTGTCTTACCAACCTGATAACAGTATTCATGATTGTACATTTACAAATATATATGATCCTTCTTCAATTATACAGAAATGCGGCATTGTCTTGTTTAGCCCAAATGTTAATCTTCAAGCAGATCCTAGGGTGCCAAAGTATCAAATTGGCTAGGCAGTATCCATCGAGGGTCCCTTGGGTGGCATACTGGACCTTCTCTGACCAATGGATGCTGCCTGGGCAATTTGATACTGTCTTTTGCCACCCTAGGATCTGCTTGGAGATTACCCAAATGTGTGAAATTGGCTCTTTCACATGTATGGTAAAACTGTGATAATAATCACAGGACAGAGGCAAATGGCCAGCTACCATCAAGCCCCAGCATCAGAGTGCAAGCATGTTTAACCCTTTGTTTACTTGGAACAACACACGATAAACTGAAATGGATAGAGATAGATAGATAGGAGAGAGGGAGAGAGAGAGGGTGAGAGAGAGGGTGAGAGAGAGAGAGAGAGAGAGAGAGAGAGAGAGAGAGGCAAAGAGCTTTTCGTAGTAGTAGGAGTAGTTTTGTTGCATGTATGTTTGAGATGCATGTATGTACTAGAAGCTGAAAAAAAAAACATTGTCATTCTGTTCTATCCTCATATGAAGGGCTCACCATGGAGAGGTATCTCAGGTCCTTTGCATGTTGACCAATGAACTCCACCGTCTCATCCCTGATGTCCTTCCATGTGAGGGACAACTTACGGAGGTTCCTATTGGCCGAGACAAATGCCTTGATGCAGGCATTTCCAATATCGTCACTACCAGTGTTCATAGTCATTCCACTCATACTAATTCCACTCATGTCTAAAGAAGTGATATTAGGCTGGAAACGCTGTAGTTGGAATGTCTTCTCCTTTCTTGGCTTTGTCTTCAGTTTCTGAGGTCTTTCTGAAGGCCTGGTTTCTTTATACAATTCTTCTTCACCCCAAGCATTCTTGGGTTGATGCGAACTGGTAAAACTTGAACAGCTGCCATCTGAAGAGTTCAATAGTGGAGTGTCTGAGTCTGACAGTGAACTTGGAACTTCACGGTTCCTCACAGCCACACTGTCTTCTTTGTACAATCCTTCTTCACCCCATGCATTCTTGGGTTGATGTGAAGTAGTTGTTAGACAACAGCTGCCATCTGAAGAACTCTGAGTGTCTGTTACTGACAGTGAACTTGAAATTTTAGGGCTCTGCACAGCCAAACTTTCCTCTACTGTTGCTTTCTCCGGTACTATTAACTCAACATCATCCAATGACAGACTGTCTAGTATGGTGTCAGAAGACATGGTTTCTTTTGCTTCTGATTGGTCAGTAGAATTACATGTATGGGCCCAAGGCACTGATTGGCTATTGCTGGTTTGAATGTCAGGTCTTGGCTCTGATTGGTCAGTAGAATCATGGGCACCAGGCACTGATTGGCTGTTGCTGGCTTGAATCTCAGGTCTTGGCTCTGATTGGTCAGATGAACTTGAATTCTCTTCACCCATTGGTGAATGCAATGTCTCACTTTCATCCTTTGATTGTCTTTCTGCAACTGACAGACTTAAAGGCATTCTGTGTTCTTGGGTCAAAGGTCGGCTGCGTATTGCAACATTTTGAAGGCTTCGTTGGCTGTTGGCAATGACCTCTTCTACAAAGATGTCAAGGTCATCAAATTCATTGAAGGTCGGCTCCTTGAGGCAAAAACTAACTCTTGAGCCTAGAATTCTTTTGGTCAGAGTTTGAACGGACACCAGAATTCACACCACAATGTCCTCCGTCTGATAAGACACCATTGGGTCGACATATACTACTTCTGTCATTGCCATTATCATTGCTATTGTCATTGTTGCTACAAGCAGCATTTTCAGAATTCTCTTCTTCCTTATTCACTAGGTTTGCAACGTGTCCTGCCACACTGCTTGAGACTGGAATACATGGAGGAGAATTCTTGGGTGACATATCTAGGTCATTTCCATGGTCCAGTCCTCCATCAAAACACATTGCTGTTGCTCCTTCTATACTACTTTTGCCCTCACAACTATCAAGTGGAGTCATGGAGTTATTTGATTCCATCTCCGTCACATGTTTTAAGGCATCCTCTCCTCCTTCTGAAACTTGTCCAAAAGCTCTTTCTCTACTACTTTCTCCCTCCCTCTCTTCGTTAACAAGCCCTATGGTGATTGGCTGTTGGTTTCCATGGTGAAGTTCTCCCGCCAGGATTTTGTGGATGAGGTCGGGCGAGAGCAGCCGGTTGTCCTGCATGGGTGGACACGCCCCCTGGTTGCCCCCGGTTACCTGGTTGTTGTCAACGGCAACAGCCAGCTGGACAGCGGTGGAGAGGCTGTACCCACACAGGAACCACAATGCACTGCAATCCACCTACAAACAAACAATCATGAAAGTTCATCTGTGTTCAACTTGGTAGTTACGTGTTTAAAGTTAAAATGGTTACAAGATCATGTTGTGAAGTGATTGGTCATTAATTTGAAAATTTGATCTCTGTATAATTGTGTGTTGAAATAAAGTTCCACATTTTACTATAAGTTCAAATTTTGAAAGAAATCCTTTATGAACCTTTACAAGCACGTCGGCAGAACATACTGCACCTGCACCAAGCCCATAATGTATTGTGCATACATGTAGCATTTCGGCAGAATGTCTCATATAAGGTTGTATTGGTATATATACTAAGTACAGTTGTACTGTGCAAGCACGTCTAACCCTCGGAAGACACCGTCTGTAGTTCCCAAATGTCATGACAGAAAAGATGACCAAAAATCCAACGAAAACCGTGAAAATGGGGGTTTGCGCAGGTTCAGTACGTTCTGCCGACGTGCTACCTTTACATTACTTACTCCAGTGAATCCCATGTTGAGGGCCTGCAGGGTTGGCCCACACAGCTCGGTTAGGTGCCTGATGCTTTTTGTCGTCAGATATACACAGCCGGATATGTCCACACTGACCAGTTTGCAACCTGGAGTAATGTATTGTTATTGTTATCTCAAATGCTTTGAGATGTATTTATGTGTACCGAAGGAAAACATATTGTTTCTGCTCTGCTTCCTCTTCTTCTTCACCAAACAAATAAGGTCAATAACCTGTACCAGATGTCTGTCACCATGGTAACTAGCATTGGGTTACCTCATGTTGCAATTTTATAGTAGGAGGGATTTAGACTCCTGTCACTATATATATATGAATGTGTTGAGTAAGAATTAACAGAGCAGACCATATGCGAAGGTAAACATTATGCATTTGCTTTGCAAACGTTACCTTTTTTCTAGTTATTGATGAATTAAGTACCATGGTATGGAATTCTGAAAAATACGTACCTGGATGAGATTTCTTGATGTTCCTTTGAGAACAGACTGATGTTCCAGATGTGAGGACTGGTCCATCCTCCTCCTTCTCCTCCTCCTGTTCCTCCATCTCCGGCAGGTGGAAACAGTCATCAGTCAGGTTGTTGCAGTAGGACAGGTCCAGGTGGGATAGGTAAGGCCACAGTCGTAACGCTTCCTGGTTACAAGCAGTGAAAAAATTATTTAAAGGTTATGTTAAGACAACAACCTCATACTAGCTCAGGAAAGAACAAACTCATTCTTTCCTAAAACTATTGCAGAGTGGAACTTGCTGTCACCAAGTACAGTAGGGGCATTGTCACTGGATACGTTGTGTTTCATGCTTTCCGACCGACCCTAGCCCTTTTTTTGGGTGGACCCCAGCAAGGGACATAAATTTTTTGAGCTGATTGACCTTTTTGTAAAAAAAAAAAAGATTATCTCTACCTACTGACCTTAATTTTTTCAGGAATGAAACAGCAAACACAACATTTTTTCCTACACCTTACTGACTGCTTTAGGGTTTACCTGAATTCTGATTTAAAACAAAAATTAACCTCACTACTTACCCAAACAACCCAATCATCGACCTCAGATGAGGCCAGGTTGAGGAAGGTCAGATGAGGACACGCCTGGGGAATACTGCAGAGGTCAAAGGTCATGTGACAGTCAGGGCCAAGGTCAGCAAGGGTCAGCGACCTCAGGTTGTGGCATCTGGAAAAAAGTGGGAGAAAAGTGAATTATCTGGAACCAGCTAAGATTAAATAAACTACCAGTAGCTAAAAAGGTAACATTTGCAAAGCAAATGCAATAATGTTTACCATCGCATATGGTCTGCTCTGTTAATTCTTACTCAAACACATTCATATACATGTATATGGTGACAGGAGTCTAAATCCCTCCTGCTATAAAATTGCAACATGATATAACCCAACACTAGTTATCATGGTAACAGACTGCCTAGTTCTGGTCATTGACCTTTTTGGTTTGGAGAAGAAAAGGAAACATATATAGCAAAAACAATATATTTTCCTTCGGTAAACATAACATTTATGAACATAAATACATGTAGTAATATTACCTTCTTAGAACCCTCGACAATCCTTCCCACGATACATTGCAGCACCTGGACAGGTCCAAGTTTTTCGTGTGGGGGGGGACCAGTAACCATAGCAACTCGTCCGTCACCATCAACGGAAACTCCGACACGATTTTGTCGCGGATGGAAGAACAGAGGACGTCGTAGGCACCGCTGGCGAGCTGGGCACGGATCGAACCACACTGATACGGGGAGGTTTGCCCGAGGTGCAGTACGGTTTGTAACACGACATTTTGCGACTGGAACTGTAGAGTTGTCACGCGGCTTCGGTCTGTCTCTACGCCGTGCTTTTGGTGGCATAATGGCACGAACGAAAACAGGTTCTGGGGTGGGAATTCAAGAAAAGAAAAACGCAAGGTATGCAAGGTCTACAAACAACAAAAAAATATACATCACACTTTCAGCATCACACAACCACAAGGCACCAAGTGTTAATATCTAGAGAGACAAGTTGACTCTGAACTGAACCAAGACTTGGAAACCAGCACCAAGACACCACGTCTGGCAAGATATTACTAATCTTAAGTAGACATTAAACAAGGAAAACAACAACAACAACTACTACATTAGTTGAAAAGTATTCAAAATAATACAAGCCATTTCTATCTTAAGTGGTGGCGTAAAGGCATAAAACAAGTTCTGGAGTTGGAAGTCAAGAAAACAAGTCAAAGCACCATGCATTTCTTTATGATGAAAGTTTCTTGCGCGTAGTATGACGTCGGCCCCTTAAAATTGTAAAGATTTGAGGGAAAAACAACGTATCCACTTGTCGACAGTTGCTGATAGTTAGAAGTACCTAGTATTGGAAGAAGAAAACAGCGATAACAGAGGCGACAGAGCAATAGAACTCGTCACAGACACACAAACACACAGACAAACACACAAACAAACCAACCTGTTCCGCCATCTTCTTGGAATCTCTGTCAGCTGACACCAGGCTAGTCGACTACACATTTAGGGAGAATACAATTACTTTTTATTTAGCCTCTCAAAGGAACAAAAAAGATAAAATCATCTAATTCTAGTAACATAACTTATTTTTTTTCTATTAATAGATGTATATCATAATATTAATGCAATTTTGAGTCAGTATACTCATAGATTCGCTTCAATAGTCTTTTGTAATTTCTTACCTCCCTTATAGATAGTGTGCTACTCCAATATGGCGGCGTTTGGCAAAAAAACGATGTTTTTATCGAAAGCATCGCAGTTTTTCCCGTTTTCTGTCCATATGTGATGAAGAGACTCGACCAAAATCCGTAACCAGGTGACGTACATCATAATGAGCACGTTACAGAGTTTTCTGGCCGGATTTTCCAAACTGTTTTCCGTAAAATCAACGATTTCGAGCGTTCTGTTGGGAGGGTTCTGTATAGCAGCCGACAGGGTTCTGAGGTGAGGAACAGAAAATCCTGTGTGTTCTAAAGTGTCGGATGTACTCGGCTATGAGGTTGTACTTATACTGCAATGTTAAGTTAAGTTATGTTAAAGTCCTTGCCGCATCAAATGGTGCATAAGGCGGCGCCCATCTCCGGTTCAGTAGCCCTTGGGCCACACAGTTGTACATGTACAATCACTAGGTCCACTGTTCATTGTGCTTGTCAAAAGAGAGCTAGGGGAATTTCCCCGGTACAATGAACCTGTAAATACTGTGTATAGTATCTGTCTTCTCTGTCACGACCAGTGGAAGATTAGCTCTTCAATGAGCTTAAACTGGATACGGATCACTTTTCCCTTACTTTCCCCCAGGTGGAAACCAGTCTCTGTGCGATTATAGACAACTCTGCCCACGGGCTGGTGGGGCTGTGGTCCTGGGGCATCGTGAGTAGCTGTAAAAAGTTATGCCACCTGTATAGATGTAACAGTGGGGTTCAATCGCTGCTAACTGATCCATTCTAACAGGTCCGGACCTTTTGGAGTAGCTGTTAGCCCACTGGTGTTGTAAGCTTGCTGCCCAGGTTTGGTGTGGGTTCAATTAATTTCTGGGTTCGCCAAGTTTTCTTGTTTATACTCGCTCCTAGTTGTTTCACAAATAGATCATATTCTCTGCCCAGGTTGAAGCCAGTTTCCGATCATGCCCTTCTACGAGTGATTACGGACAACTCTGCCCACGGGCTGGTCGGGCTGTGGTCGTGGGGCATCGTGAGCGGCCTCCGTACCAGACACGACGTGTTACACACACTGCTCTGCGGACTGCTGGCCAGTCTGGTGGACACTGATCACTTCATTGCCGCACGGTCTTTTAGACTCAAGGTTTGTGTGGAAATCTGTAGATTTTTGACAAAGAAATGTACTACTAGTTTGCTGCAAGTTCATTGAAAATGAAAATCTATGTATTTCTTGTATATAGTTTATATATCTCTTCAGAGTTAATCTTATAATTCATTTATTTGCATTAGACACAAAGCCCACAAATGCTGATACTAGTATACAGAAAAAATGATCTTCTTTTCTCATCTTTCTATGTTACTTAGTTACAATTAGCCTTTGGGCAAGAATTTGCACTTAATTAAAACTTTACACAAAATCTATGTTTCTTTTTCAGGATGCGCTTTCTTTACCGGAAAGGCCACCGTTTCACGCAACAAGCCTTCTCCTATCTACCGTATTCACCATGTGGATCCTCCTGAAGATGATGGACTGGAAAGCTCTCCATATACTACCTTGGGTCTGCACGGTTGCCTGGCTGTCTCACCATATTAGGGATGGCACAAGGCGTGGCCTGTGGTTTCCACCAATCGGAAGCTCCCCTCCTATTCCATATTGGTTGTACATAGGACTGATTGTATTACTGCCCAATGTTGTTATATTGTGTCTTCACTATAGTACAGTTTTTGACCAGACGAGAATTGTAAATGCCCCATTGATATCAAATGTATAAATTAGCCCAAGTCTATGTGACTTGTGAGAGAACTTTTTTGTGCTGGATCTAAACTTTTAACTCTAAACATGTAACTACCAACACAGATGAACTTTCATGATGTATAATTGTCATGCAATAAAGTTCTTCCATATAAACGTATAAATGTTGTTATAGTGTACGGTATTACACTACTGTAATTAACTTTATTCACTTTATGTTCACGGTAGCAAAAGTTCACGGTCTGAGAAAAATGGACATGTTCACAAAACTATATATATTCACAGTGGCAACAGGTGCAGGAAAAAGAATTATGATAACACTCATTGTTTTAGTAATTTGGATGCCAAGTTTTATTCTATACCTGTAATTTGTATGTTGTACTATATATATGTTTAATAGTTGTCATACATTGTGCCATGTACAATTGTTGTGCAATAAAGTTCTTCAATACAAACGTATTAAATGCTAACTTTGTAAAAAGAATTGAAGAAATGGAATATATTTTGTGTCCTTTCTTGCAAACTTAAGGGTAAAACTAGCACATCTCTTTAGCTGTGGTTTGTCAAATGTCTGAATGGTCTTTGATGTCATCTAATTATCTTCGTTATCGTTAATTCCTATAATAAGATTTTGATTACTTTAATAATGGACGTCTGCTGGGATTTGCAGCTATTTGAAAATCCCACACCAACATTTCAGGTTGTGTGCATACATGTAGTCCAGTGATTAGCGACCCTGCCTCTGGACCAAGAGGTTGGGAGTTCGAATCCCGGCTGTTGTCACTCACGGTCAGAGTGACTGGTTGAAAGCTCTAGGTCAGAGAACTTCTTGGTGTTGGATCAAAAGTTTTAACTTCAAACACGAATCTACATATCGTACTAATAGCAAGCTTGCTGACGGTACCTGTCTTGTCTCAGGCCAAATGATCAGTCATTAAAGCCAATTGCAAGCTATTCAGAAATGCTGTCTAATCACGTTTCATTAAACGATTTAATCGTTGCGTTGAATATATGGCTCTGTTCAATATCTCGACAATAGAAAGGCGCCGTTACCCAAATGCATGCCAAAAACTGGGAGTTTTGGGGGTCTTCAGGGTCTTTGGGAGCTTTTATGTGCTATTTTCTGATTGCATATAGACAACATAGCCGGCCTGGTTGAATTACCCCCGTTTTAATAGAAGTGGGCTAATCAGCCGAAGACCATCAAACCCTATAAGTCTGCTACGGAGGCTAACCCAAATGCAGGATAGTCAGAAATGTGCAAGAAGACCATTCAGGGGACTGATCAAACCTTGTCTATGTGGACAGGTGGTCACTATAGACAGGATTCTTAATGTTTGTGTCAATGGGGAAAAGTATCTAAGGGACCCCCAAAAAGTGGTAACACTGGCCAGGAGTGTTATGTAGAGGCGGTCCACTTGTAGTTTTGACTGTATACTTATAGGGGACTACATGTATACATGCCTCTTTTCTGTAAAGGTTAGACAAGGAGTATCTTGCTTCTTTAACACTTAGAGCTTTTTTCGTAATTCGTAAAAGGTAATAACATTGTCTTACTGAATGTAGAGTATACTACATAGGAGGTTCTCCTTCATTTAGCGCAAAGAATTGTTGGGAACCCCCCATGCAGACCCCCAATTGTACTCTGCACCTGTAAGATATCAGCGGGAAAATTACACAGCGTGTCACCAGGTAACCAAAACGTAATGATGCCATTTATGTAAATTATACATCATTAGTGTTTGAAACGTGCCCCGGGCCATACCCAACAGTATAAGTAGGCCTTACAACCCGGCATGACTTAGATCAGTGTGACTCAAGAAAGAAGTCAAGACATTGTTTCAAGACATTGTTTCAAGACTTCGTTTTAAGACATTTTTTCAAGATGGCCCGTATCCTGGCTGCTTCTGCCGTTTTGTTCTTCCTGCTCGGTATGTATTTATAACGTTATTACATGTCGTATGAACTTTATGAATATAGTCAAACGTATCTTTGTATCATATTCCGTATAAATTCGAGGGGATTCATTCCTCAGCTAACCAACATCTCGCACACACAGTCGTCCCTCAGTAAGACATCTGGAGCCGCATAGTTCCCGTTTAGAACTTTTAATCTGCCTGTCACACGACCGGTTTCGCCTGTGTGGCTTCTTCAAGTGTACAGAGGCTAAATGGCACAAGTGGCATGAAGTTCTCACTTAAATACCTTTCCAGTGCATAATATCTTCATAATTTTGGTATCATATTCCGTCCAGTGGTACCGCAAGTATACTATAAGCGTGTCCGTAATCGCCTGATCTTGAGAATGCTTTCTGGTAAATAATGGTATTAAGATATTTTGGTGACCGTTTGACCGTATTAAATACAAAGTGTTGCGTTATTGTACAACAGTAAAGTATGGTCAGGCTAGCGGACAGATCTAGAAGCTCAAGGGGTTCGAGTTCGATTCCTGCATTTCTAGCCAGACCTCGTGTCCGTTTGAAAGGCACGTTACACGACTTTCCTCATTCCGAAAATAAAAATGCGGCGGTTAAGTTTTCTCATATCTGTCATGTCTTTCCCCCCAGGCGTGGCCTCTGCCCAGTCCCTGAAAGGCTGTTACGTCGGTGACGGAGACTCCGCCGCTGCGGACGCTTCTTCTGACGATATGATCAACTCTGACTGCGCTGAGTTCTGCGCCAAGGAGGGAAAACCTTACTCAGGTACGTACATTTGTACTAGCCTCTACCAGGCTTGGGGAGGCGGCTGGGTGCGGCGAAATGTTCTCTCAACGAACAAACTCCCTTGGCATGCTTATCTCTCTATTTGGCCAATTTCTACTCTTTCCAGCCGCCTCCCGAAGCCTGGTAGAGGCTACATTTTTTTTGTACGCGCAACGGTGAGAGCGTTGGACTCGGAAGCAATAGGTCCAGGGTTCAATACTCACCATTCCCCGACGTTGTTTCTCTGAGAAAGGCACTTTAAACGAGTTTAAAGGGTGGAAAGAGCGACAAATTGTGCTCCTTTTGTGGACCAAAATCCCCCGGCATGTTATCTCTCTATTTGGCCGATTTCTACTCTGTCCTAGCCTCTGCTAGGCTTCGGGAGGCGGCTGAATATAGTAGAAATCGACCAAAATAGAGAGATAGCATGCCGGTTGAGTTGGTCAGCTGGAGAGAACAGTTTGCCGCTCGCGTTGGGCCGATTTCTACTCTTTCCAGCCGCGTCCCGAAGCCTGGTAGAGGCTACGGTAGAGGTAAGAAAAATTGATCGGCCAACGAGTCTAATAATTTCAGCTGGTCACCTGTTCTTTATCATATGTAACGCACCCCTTTGATGTCCTGTGATAGTAGTTATTATTATAATAAGTCCCTATGATATAATTGGTTTTGTACCACTTGTATTATGCTGATCTGGCAAGTGTCCACCTGGCTGCTTTGTGTTGAAAACAGAGGTAGTAATTAGCTAATTACCGCGACAAATTATTCGATAGGAGATAGGACAGAACTCTAATCTCCAACCAGGGGAATAATGAAAAAAAATTGGTCGGTTATTAGAATAATCGCCCACATTTTGGACCGTACCATAATGATTGTACAGGGGGCAGGACACTGACAGTAGTGTAAAGACCTCGTCCGCTACGCCCACTCGGTGGTTTATTCAGTGGTTATCGCCTTGGCCAGGGATTATCTCACCATATACATCTCGGGGCGGGGCATTAACCCTTTACAATAAGTCCCTAACTGGTTTGATACCACATGCATTATGCTGGTCTGGCTAGCGTCCGCTGGCTGTTTTGCGTTGAAACCAGAGGTAGTAATTTTGTTAATTACCGCGACAAATTATTCGATAGGAGATAGGACAGAACTCTAATCTCCAACCAGGTGAATAATGAAAAAAAGTGGTCGGTTATTAGAATAAATACGTTTTGGACCTTACCATTATACATGGGATAGGACATTGACAATACTGTTAAGACCTCGTTTGCTGCGCTCACTCGGTGGTTTATTCCGTAGTCATCGCACCTGACTAGGGATTATCTCACCATTTACCGCTCGGGGCGGGGCATTAAGTCCCTAACTGGTTTGATACCACATGCATTATGCTGACCTGGCTAGTATCCACCTGACTACTTTGTGTTGAAACCAGAGGTAGTAATTTTGTTAATTGCCCCGACAAATTATTCGATAGGAGATAGGACAGAACTCTAATATCCAACCAGGTGAATAATGAAAAAAAAGTGGTCGGTTATTAGAATAATCGCCCACTTTTTGGACCGTACCATAATGATTATACCGGGGACAGGACACTGACAGTAGTGTGAAGACCTCGTTCGCTACGCCCACTCGGTGGTTTATTCGATGGATATCGCACCTGACCAGGGATTATATCACCATTATACATCTCGGGGCGGGGCATTAACCCTTTACAATAAGTCCCAATTGGCTTTATACCACATGTATTATGCTGATCTGGCAAGTGTCCACCGGCTTCTTTGTGTTGAGAACAGAGCTAGTAATTAGCTAATTACTCCAACAAATTGTTCGATACGAGATAAGACAGAACTCAGATGCACAGGGCAGGTCTGTTTTGTGGGCCTTCTGAAGGTTCGACTTTTTTTATCATGTATGTAACCCTGTATGTACCATGTAGTGTGGGGTCGTGTGGCGTAACGACAGAGCGTTCGGCTTGGAATCAAGAGGTCCCGAGTTCGAACCCTGCCATGTCACCGATCTTGTGACCTTCATCATCATTATCCGTCGTCCCTTGGGAATTCCAAAGGCACTTTACACGACTATCCTAGATGGAGGCCTAGCGAACCCCACAAAAAGGCAGCAGAATCTTCAGCTAGTTGAAGGCGGCTGCCTCCAAATGAAAGAAGAAGGAGAGAACCCTGATGTTTTCAGGACTTTAGGTGCCATTGTAGACTAGACCAAGAGCCTGTTGAACTACTTACACATTCCATTTAAACCAGGCACCGGAGGTGAGGAGGGTCGGTACTGCGCGCGCCATAGCATCATATTAGTGATTAGTGAAATAAGTGGTCGGTTATTAGAATAATCGACCACTTTTTGGACCGTACCATTCATTCTATAGGTGGACAGGTTGTCGTGTAATTTAAAAGATTTTCTTTAAACCAGGCACCGGCGGTGAGGGTGGTCGCTACTGTGCCTGTCTGACCGAGGAGGACATGGGTATGCTGGCCCCCACGAAATCGGACGCCGCAAACTGCGACACGCCGTGTCCTGGGAAACTGGAAGAGATGTGCGGCGGCGGCGATAACTACGTCACTATCTGGAGCACCGGGAGTGGTAAGAGAGAGAGAGGGAGGAGGTG